GAGGAGAACAGGTGGAAGAAAGAGAGCTATGAAGCCTGCTGGGTGAGCCTCGTCCTTGAAACCAGACCACAGTACAGGTAGGTTGCTCACATTAGATACTGAGCTGTGCATGACTCACTAAATATACTTTTTTGGAGGGTAAAATATTCTGTGTTGCGCTCATTTGAGCTTTGCTGTGTATTTGTAGTTTGTTGTGGTGTTTTAAGATGTAGTATTACACTGAAGCAGCCTATTTGCTCACTGTAATTTGGCAGTAAAGCCATGACATGTGATGTTGTATTTTAACTTAGAGGGAATAGCAGTTAAAATCTGCTTTGCTCAGCAAAATGACTTACCAGGCTCTGATCAGTCAAGCCTGTACAGTGTGTTTTATTGCAGTTAACAATTCAGACGATTCAAAATGTGAACTAACACAGAGGCAGTGACGCAGCTGTATACAGCGTTAGTGTTTCATGGATGTAAGAAAAGCTTGATCTGTGTGTTGCAGGCTGAAGCTGTCAGAGAGCGACAGCATTCGCAGAGAGAGTTATAAACAGCAACAGGTGGCCCACTTCATGGTGGAGAGGAGCCCCAGCCAGATACTGATGCTGGGCAGCACCAGTGGAGCGATGACAAAGCACCAGCTACCCTTATTCAACACCAGCAGGGAGGTGGATCGTACCACAACCAGCTTTAGGCACACAGAAGAGCCTGTTATAAAAGAGAAGCCGATTGCTGGAGCAGATAGACAGGGAACAGGAGCCACCACAGATCAAGATCTTAGCAAGCCGGTTAGAGTGAACTTCAGGGCCTCGAGTCTGATGTCCTCTCCCAGGGAAACCTCTAATCGGGTTCAGAGAAGGGAGTGATCACAGCCTTTGTTGTAGTAAATTTCTCAGCAGTATTAACAAAATCAAATATTCTTCTAAAATTGACTATTTTAGAAGTAGTATTTTTATGCACATCAAACTCGAGGATGTTATCTCACATGCTATACTTATATTTGTAGTAGTGTCATATCTTCAGCAGCTAAATAATACTAAAAAAAGATGTGCTATAATTTGCATAAAAGCTCTGGCTGCTGCAGAATTGAGTCTGGTGTGAACTGTAACTTTGTTCCAGGAGGAAAATGCAATTTTGTCACACCTGGTGATTTTTATGGTTTGTAAAGCTTAATTAAACACTTTCTGGAAGCTTGCTTCACAAACCTCAATCAATATTCTCGTGTCAGTTGTTTTTACACATTCCTCGTGCATGCACCTTTTTAATCATGCATTATGAGCCTCCACATAGCTAACGGATTAAAGTATATCTTTCCTGTATCTAAATCCAGATGAAGCTGCTCCTTGAAGCCCCCTCCCCCAAAAAACAGTCTCTATGGACAAAAAGGACAACCTACAAACTGAGTTCTAAACAAAAACAAATGTATTTAAATGACCACACAGAGTTGTAAGTGTCAGTTTAGCATCCAGCACTTAATCACCAAGGTCAAAATGAAAACATGGCAGCACAGAAAGGCCTGATAACCAAAGACAAATGCTACAGATTCAGTAAATCCTTTCATTGCATGTGTGAGTGTGTGTTACAGTAACAAATTAAATGTGCTTTTTTTTTATTTTACTTTTTTTTTTTTTACAACACATTATATTATTCAGCACTATTTTGCATACATGCACCGTCGGTTAAGTCCGGCGTCACTGACATTAGTGAGGTACCCACAAACCAGTCATAAGAAACATCCTCCCTGTTCTGCTCGATCATGAGATCAGGCTTGTTTTAAATGGAGGAATCTCAATGAACAGAGAGGTTGTTGAAAACAGAAAGTCCCAGAGTTGTCTTTATAAATATCTCCCACATCACTCCTTCAACAACAGACTTAAATTATCTACAAAAACATAATAATAGATTTGATAGAGTGTTATGGCATCCCTGAATTCCTATCTAAGGAATAAAAAAATTGTTCTTCCGAGATATAATCTTAACTGACAATAATTCATGGCATTCAAAAATATGGACGTTAAATCGACATTTTTATAGGGGCTAAATTATAAAGTTTTATCATCTTCTATTTAATAAACCATGCATTTTTGTATCCAATATGGATATCACCTGATTAATCCTACTAATATTTCTGTTTTTCTTCAGTTAAATGAAATAAATCCTTATCTGAGCAGCTGAGGTTAACTGCTATAAGCGATATTAGTGCATCATCAAAATGTGATCAAGGGTGGAGTTTTCAGATGGTGATATTCAGCTTGTCAGACCTCACTGACCTTCTCTGTGTTTGCATAACATCCCTACAAGTAAAGGTTATTACACAGAGGGGATAAAAAAAACAAGAATTTTCCATTTCTAAACCACACCCTCGCCACATTCTTCAAGTCAAACCAAAACACCAGCTTAATGTTGCCTATTTGTCACTTTGTGTCTGAGTGGATTTTTCCTCCTAATATGGCTTCCTCGGCTCTTTTGTGTTTCTGGACGGTGATTTGCAGCTGCCAGTACTTGAGGTACACCCACATGAGGCTTCCGTTCTTCCTCCTGTCCATGTTTAGCAGCTCAGCACAATGCTTGTCTCTCTTAAAAATATCCTTCAGGTCAGTCTCTAGATCCAGGTCTGGCCCAATGGGATCTTTAACGACCTTAAGCAGCATGTTCTTCTCCATCTCCAGCCGCTGATCTCGAGGCTGGATGAGGGAGCAGTAGGCGTTCTGCCGCTCCACAAGTAAACCCTCCAACTCCTTCAGAGTGGCTGTGGCTCGGTTGTACCAGTTCTGCTCTTTTTCCAGAGCTTGATGCAGCAGAGCACCTGCAGCTCCTGATTTCACCAACTTTTGCTTCTCTTCCTCTAAGGACTCTCGCTCCTTGTTAGAAGACAGAATACAAGGTTAGTGAGTAAAGGCTATGCATTACAAAGGAAAATGACACAATGATAAAATGGGTGCAATGTTCAATGTAAAAGGAGGACAACAAAAGACATATGTGTGGCAGGTAACTGAGATGGAAGAAAACAAAGGTTTAAGACAGATTTCTACTCATTAGCTCCGTTATCCCTTATAAACCCTTCAGCAGATCTTTACCTGCTGTAACTGCTTCCTTTCTTCCATAAGCTGCTGGCTCTGTGAGACCAGGGCCTGCTTGTACCCTTTGACCCGCTGTCTCTCTTTCTCCAGCTCCAGCTCCAGCGTAGCTGCTGCCCTGCGCCTCTCGGTAAGAGTCTCCCGGTAACGGGCCTCCATATCACTTTTTATTGTAGACACATCTCTGTCATACTGAGCTTTCACCTTCTGGATCTCCCTCTGAGATTCTCTGGTCCAGATCCATCCTGAAAGGGCAATGGGATAAAAAAAAAAATGGGGAAGATGTTAAGTGATACTACCATGATTTTCTGAAGAGTAGAGTAGCTGGAGCTACTTATGAACTGAATTTTATAAAATCATGGCAATGACTTTATCTAAGTAACAGAGATGATCTATCATACAATCACACACAGATCAGAACAGATGCATGCTGGGGAAGCACACAAGCAGTTGTAGGTTTTTCCTCTGCCCTATACCCATCTTCCTAAATAATTTTGGGAGGTTTGCGCTAAGTTTTATGGTGATGCCGATGAAGGCAGCGAGCCAGAATGTGTGCGTCTTGTCAATAAAAAACAAAACAAAAAACTACAACAAAACAAAAAATTGTTCTGTATATTACAACTGTTGCAGGTGTTTTCCCCCTGTTTTACAGTATGTAAAGTTGTGCAAGAAACCTCTGCTGTGCTTAACCTGGAAGGGCCAAAATGTCTCCTTTTAGTGGAATAATTTTTACTGATCTGCAGTTTAGTCTACTCCCCCCCCCCTCTGTGTTAATCATTAAATGCCATTTGGCATTCTAATGACAAAAGAGACTGTGTGTCTGTAAGCCAGACACTCACTCACTGATCATCATATTCTTTTGACTGCTCCCTTTAAGGGTCACCACAGCAGATCATTTGAAATTGATATGCTGTTCTACTCTGTTGTCTCATCCACAATCACACAGGTGAATCTCCTTGTGTAACTTACGAAATGCAGCCAGTCCCAGCATGGGGACCAGCAGGGCGTAGTTCCACTGGTTGCCATCGCCTGCTCCCGCCCCCCTTCCTCTGGGATCTGGTTGGATGTTCCATCTTGGGGGATCATTCAAGTTGTTCATGGAGGCCGCTGTTACACACACACAAACAAACACGAAGAGAGCTCAGCCCAAAACATCACCAACAATTGACTCTTTCTCGGTTTTTATTTGTGAGTAACATATAATCTCAGAGGTGTTTTCTCTTTGACACGTCTATAATTTACTCTGCATTAACTATCACATAATTTGCTACTGGCTGAATAAAGAGCAGTGAATAAACGCCAATGCATCTGCTAGGGTGTGCAATCTGCAAAACAGTGTTTGGAATAAGCACTGGATGTGAAAGTGCATTAACAAATAGCTTTTTAGCATGAATCCAAACAATGCACCGGGCATGCAGGGCGAAAGGAGCCTCTCATGATTCGGAAGTTTGACAGCTGAGCTAACCATAAACAAAGCTAGCTATGTGCTACATGCTAGCCAACATTTGGCTTCGTGGCTCGTCATTGTGTTTATAAAAAAACACAACAGAACGAAGGGGCTTCATAGTTTTGCAATCCTGACAACGTGTCAGCGTACGCCTGTTAAATGTATGGAACTGTGTCTCACCTTGAATGAAAAGTGTAGGTCACTTATGCATTTGTTCTTGCACACGCAGATTATACAATTTTAACGATTTAACGTTCCACCTTAGCCGGCAGAGGGTGATTTTAAAAATTGCTTTCAAAAAGAACCTGTAAGTGTTGCAGTAAAAAACCCTGTATATTTACTCAGATGGTTTCAAGGTAATAATTTAATAATTACCCTTAAAACACATGGCTAAATGCTTTAAATAATAACTATCATATAAATATTAAATAAATGAGTGACCCCTCTTTTAGCACATTGGTTTAGTCCGGTCCGGCAGAATATGTGTTCCTCCGCAGCGCAGCAGGAACGATCCTCCGTCTGACAACATGGCGAGTGTCCGCACGGCGTCCCGTCTCCTCTCCAAGAGGGTTTTATCTACTGCGAAAGCAGTGAGTAGTGAAAAGATGCTTTTAAAAGTTAAATATTTATATATGTAGTATATTGTAAAAGATAATATTTTATTTTCCCTTTTTTGTTTCTAAAACGAAGCTTTCATAACCGGCGGATTCTGACTTGCGTAATCTGTTATGTAGCTGGTGCTGTTTCAATGTGACACTATGAGCAAAGGTATTTTGCAGGTCCAACAAAATGATTTATATTATATCTATTACACTTCTATTATCTCCATATTACACTTTGTTTCTAATGGCGACTGAACTTTCTGCCTAACCGAGACATTTCGTCACCATGAAAGTCGTAAATGCCGCTGCCCTTGTGTAAAACAGTTCTAAGTATGTAGCCGCTGTTGTTAGCTACAAAAGTAAAATGGGGCAAACTGCAGATATATGACAGGTTTAGACCGACGAAGATGAAAAATAACCGCCAAGAGCAAACGTCACTATAAAAATGGTCGTGCGTTTTAATGCTTTTTCTTTTTCTTTTTGTTTTTGTTTGCTATGGGTTGTTTTGGTAAATGCCTTCACAGCCATTATTAAACATAGTGCTGTAAGGCTGTTAACAGAAAGTTTTGTGCAGGAGTCCCCCCTATTATAAATCACTGCTGATGTCGTGGCACAGGTATAGCAGATGCTTTTGGTTGGTATGCTGCTTGTATTTTAGCAGATCATTTTTCAAAGGCAGGAGCCACCTGACAGTTGATCAGACTGTAACCTCCCTGTCACTTCTCATGTAGATCGTTAAACTTATAGTTTCAGCTTAACATTAATTTGTTCTTTTTTTTTATTTCTAATGTGAAATTAATATAAGTTACACTTAAATTAAATGAATCTGTTAGTAATTTCTGCTGCTTTCTGACACTTGTAAGCATCTGATTGTTGATGCCCCACAGGTAGGGAAGACCAAACAGAAAAAAAGGAAACAGATTATTTATTATTCACCAGGAATTATTCTCTTTTTTTTCTTAAAAAAAAAAAATCCTGCATATAGGATATCGAGCTATTTTACACCAACAGATGCCATTCGTTCTTTTTTTTTTTTTTTTAACATGGGGATCCTATTCTGGGAAATTTAAAAATATAACGATAAACAGCTTATTAATGTAAAAAGGAGATTTTTTGGTATACTTTCTACTTGATTCTACTGATAGAAACCCTGTAAATCGCCTGCATTCCCTAGTACATCCAAAAGTGACAGAAATAACAGAAACTAGCCAGGTGTAGTATTATTTACTCTGAATTTGCAGCAAGTCTTATACTTACCCACAGTACAATTTCTCAGGGGATCATGCTCGGTATATGAGCACACTTCAAGATGACCATTGGATAGTCTCAGTGTCCTCCTCTGTTATCTGTTGGCCAAGCAGGCAGTCAGTTGATCTAAGAGATGCTAGATGATAATTTACATGATAAATGATTTATATGATATTATCATTTTAGTGTTTAAGACCCTCCTTGCTATAATGTATAATGAGCTTCTTCCCAATATGGAGAGTCTGTATTTGCATCAGTGGGATTGGGGAACCTCTTTCTCACTGTGCTGTGAAGAATAAAATGTTGTAGATTTAAACCATAAAAAATGTGAATAGTCTTAATCACATTGTGTCAAAGGGCAATGAAGATCAACGGTCTGCTGGCTTAGTGTAAGTTGTTTACACTAAAGTGATTTTGGGAAATTCAGTCATTTAGTGTAAATGGTTTATTCATCATGTGTGAATAAGGATATCTCACACAAAATAATTTTAATTACTTCACATTTTGTCAGGAAAGTTTAAGCACGTGGGGCACAGTGTTGTTGTGTCTGTTAAAGTGATGCATTAGTTCCTCCTACTGGCAGGTTTGTATACTTTTAAATTCAAGTCAGTGTTGAACTACAGAAGGTTTAAAATACATTTGCATCTGACAAGATCAGCTGTGTAAATGCTGGTAACATTTTCAGTGATGAATGGCTCAAAATATTAATAATATGAATTATGGGTTGTGGAGGTGCCAAGACTGAACGTTTAAAGCTTTAAAACTTCACTTCATTGAATAATCATTTTGTTGTGTTTATTAGCAGAGTCTGGTTTTTCAGTGTGTTTTATGTTTGGGATTAATTTTAGTTTTATTTAAGTTGCTTTTTCTTCTGCCAGGTCCCTGCTGCTGCAGTTCAAGGTTCCAGGAACTTCCACTTTTCCATTTATGGCAAGAAGAAAAATGCCAAAGTATCAGATGACGTAAGCCACATTAAGTTTGTGTTTTTTTTAATCCAGAACAGTATGTATAATATGAAAACCAGGACTCCGCATACATAGAGTACACTCTCATTGCTTCAAAAATGTTTGCAGTACATTGTCTTTTCAACTGGTTTCAGATCTCCACTCAATACCCAGTTGTGGATCATGAGTTTGATGCTGTGGTGGTTGGAGCTGGTGGAGCGGGACTGAGGGCAGCTTTTGGCCTGTCTGAGGCTGGCTTCAACACTGCCTGTGTCACCAAACTGTTCCCAACCAGGTCTCATACTGTCGCTGCACAGGTAAATCAGTTGTTACAGTAAATGATTTTGTGTGTCAGTTAGGACCAAAGTCTCAATCTCATTGCAAATATTTTACTAATCTTGAGTCATCAAGTAAACACGCATAATGTTTAAACTTACCTTGGTTAATAGGGTGGGATTAATGCGGCTCTGGGGAACATGGAGGAGGATGACTGGAGGTGGCATTTCTATGACACAGTGAAGGGATCTGATTGGCTTGGAGACCAGGACGCTATCCACTACATGACAGAACAGGCTCCTGCAGCCGTAGTAGAGGTATGATCTCTCTTAGAAACACACTAACATGCATAACAAGTCATTATGTTAACTGGCAAGTACTAGGCCTTAAACAAAAGACATAAATGAGTGTGTAAGCCATGTGATCTTTAGGAATACCTCATTGCACAATAAAAGCCGAGCAGCTTATTGGTGGATTTAAATAATTATTAATTTATTTTATTTTTAATTTACACCAGATGGGGGTCATTCCACCCAGAGCTATGTAAAAAGACAGTTACAGCAGATTAGGAATTCATGTTGCTCTTGTTTCCTTTTTTTTTTTTCCTAGCTGGAGAACTTTGGCATGCCATTCAGCCGCACTGAGGAGGGCAAGATCTACCAGAGGGCCTTTGGAGGTCAGAGCCTTAAGTATGGAAAGGGAGGTCAGGCGCACCGCTGCTGCTGTGTAGCAGACAGAACAGGCCACTCACTGCTGCATACGCTGTATGGAAGGGTGAGTACACATACTTTCCTACCTTCTTTCTGCAGCGTAATCTTTGTGTTGCCGAGGAGCACCAGTTAAGTGCCTCTGTGCGTCTGCCTGACTTGTCTTCAGTCACTTCGTTATGACACCAGTTACTTTGTGGAGTATTTTGCCCTGGACCTGCTGATGGAGAATGGAGAGTGTAAAGGGGTGATCGCTCTCTGTATGGAGGATGGGTCTATCCACCGCTTCAGAGCCCAGAACACTGTTATTGCTACTGGGTAGGAGATGCCTTTGCTTAAACATTTCTTCAACTGTCATTTTATCTACAAGCTTAGAAATAAGTTCTGTCTTTCTTTCCAGGGGTTATGGAAGAACCTATTTCAGCTGCACATCTGCTCACACAAGCACAGGAGATGGAAATGCGATGGTGACCAGAGCGGGTCTGCCCTGCCAGGATATGGAGTTTGTCCAGTTTCATCCCACTGGTGAGAAAAGAAACTTAATTTATTAAACCAAAAAATGTTGCTGAAGCATTGAGGAGAGTTTTATTTTGAAAGCGAAAGCTCCACAGGAACTATACAAATTCCTCAAAGATATGTTTAGAATACCTACAGTAAAGTTAACTAGTATAGATGCTGTATCAATAACAAGTCAATGTCTAGTAAGTGCAAATGTAATATAGTTAAGAGATTGGAGAGAAAAATGAATGATTTTACATAGTTTGGGCACCAGAGGGCACTCTACAACTTCTGTTGTCAACTTCTGGAGTCAGAAAAACAAAAACCAGCTGATCTGAGTGCAGTCTGGCAGAGCATAAAGGAGTAACCTACGACTTGTGACAATAAAACAAAATTATTTTTTAAAATGCATTGTCATATTATCTTAGTTGAATTGAACTGAATTGAAAGCCTTTATTGTCGTTATACATCGTATAACGAGATTAGAAACAGCTCTATAAAAGTGCAGACGTGCTTTAGCACATTAAAAACTATAGAATAATTTAACAATACACTTAATATAAGTATAAATACACAGTACAGTAATGGATAACAGAGACAGACAGGCAGAGAATTGATGATATTTCAGTGCAGATTACTTTTTGTGCAAGTTTGAGTTGAGTATGGTTATAGCTTTGGGGAAAAAGCTATCCCTGAGTGTGTTTGTTCTGGCCCGTATGGATCTGAAGCGCCTGCCAGAGGGCAGTAGGTTGAAAAGATGGTAGCCGGGATGGGTAGTGTCCTTTAAGATGTTTCTGGCCCTGCTGATACAGCGGGAGTTGTAGACGGCAGACAAGGAGGGCAGGGGGCAGCCGATGATTTTTTGTGCTGTGTTTACCACCCTCTGCAGTCTCTTCTTATCTGCCTCCGTGCAGCTGGCGTGCCACACTGTCACCGCATAGTTTAGCAGGCTCTCGATGGTGGATCTGTAGAAGGTCACCAGCAGCGGGGTGTTTAGTTGCTCCTTCCTGAGCACCCTCAGGAAGTGTAGCCGCTGCTGGGCTTTCTTGACTAGCACCATGGTGTTAGCTGACCAGGAGAGGTCTGCAGAGATGTGGACCCCAAGGAATTTGAAGGACTTCACTCGCTCTACACATTCTCCGTTGATGTGCAGGGGCAGCTCCGTTCCACCTGAAGTCCAGGATGAGTTCCTTGATCTTGGTAATGTTAAGTCCCAGGTTGTTTGATGCACACCATTCTCCCAGTTTCAGGACCTCATCTCTGTAAGCCGCCTCATTTCCCCCTGTGATCAGCCCCACCGCTGTTGTGTCATCAGCAAATTTGACAATGATGTTCTCTGGGTGGGCAGGACTGCAGTCAATATGTGTAGAGGGAGTAGATTAGTGGGCTTAGTACACAGCCCTGGGGAGAGCTGATGTTGAGAGTGCGAGGGGAAGAGAGGTGAGGACCCAGTTTCACCCGCACTAAAAATTAACTACACATAAAAAATGTAAGGGAAACCTGTTCATGTTTCATGTGTCTAAAAGAAAAAAACTATTGACCAATATTTCAGACTTTTAACTCACTAAATGTCTACATTTTACCCTGAAGACAACTTTCTTTTTCCTAAAGATCATGTTTATTTTTGTTTTTCCTGGATATCATGATATCATTAAATATGGATGAAGTAGCACATGTGCCCTGTGGCATAGATGCTCCATCTTTGTAAATGCTTGTTGCATAAGGGCAGCAGACTTCGCCATGTTTTATGCATAACTCTGCTACACTGAGGGAAAACCTATGATTTAAATTGGTTGGTGGATATAGCAGGAAAAAAGTACAGTTTTTCACAGATTCTAGAGATAAAACTTTAAAATTGTGAGTGAAATTGCTTAACAGTACTGGGTCTATAAAGCATAATGTCTTTGGTTTTATTGACATTATATTGTGCCATGGCAATAAAACCTTGTGGATTTTACATTTACAGTGTTGACCTTGTGTTTCTTTGATGGGAATGAAAGCTTATAACTACTGTTGTTATTTATTCATAAATATTTGGATGTAACAGGTTTTTTTTTTTTCCTTCTTCTTCATGTTTCATGCTTACAGGAATCTATGGAGCCGGCTGTCTGATCACAGAGGGCTGCCGTGGTGAGGGAGGAATCCTGATTAACAGTGAAGGAGAGCGCTTCATGGAGCGCTACGCACCCAACGCCAAAGACCTGGCTTCCAGAGACGTGGTGTCCCGCTCCATGACCATAGAGATCAGAGAGGGCAGGTATGCTCAACTCACCTGTCTGTGTGATGTCTGTCAAAGCTTTTAAGCCAGTTCCTGTTCCTTACTGACGTTTACGTTTTTAATTTCTTCAGAGGTGTTGGTCCAGAGAAGGACCACGTGTACCTGCAGCTTCACCACCTGCCTCCTCAGCAGCTGGCCGCAAGGCTGCCTGGTATCTCAGAGACAGCCATGATCTTCGCTGGAGTCGACGTCACCAAAGAACCCATCCCTGTCCTGCCCACCGTCCACTACAACATGGGTGGAATACCCACAAACTACAAGGGACAGGTACATAATCTCTGCATGTGTCATCTCCACGCGTCGTGCACTAAGATTGTTGTTGTGAGCACAGCGGGCTTGCTTAGGATTTGTAATATTTGGCCCTTAGGTGATTACTCACGTCAACGACGAGGACAAGGTGGTTCCCGGACTGTATGCCTGTGGCGAGGCAGCTTCTGCCAGTGTCCATGGAGCTAACAGGCTGGGTGCCAACTCCCTGCTGGACCTGGTGGTGTTTGGCAGAGCTTGCGCCCTCACCATTGCTGAGCAGCACAAACCTGGTGAGAACCTCTGCTTTTCACAGAATACTTTATTAATCCCAAAAGTAGTGTATTTGGTTAAATTTATTACAATAAAAAGTTTCTTAATCTTAAAAAATAACCATTAATAATGCAAAAAAAAAAATCATAAAAACAACTGATTAAAACAGACTTAATATTTTCTGGTAAAATATTAGCAGAAAAGATATCTGTTCTACATTCACATTCGGAGAAAAATCACTTTTGCTGTCTCTGTGTTCATGCTGACGTTGGCTTTTTTGTCTTTTCCTGTGCAGGAGAGAAGCTGTCCCCTCTGAAGCCCAGCGCAGGAGAGGAGTCTGTGGCCAACCTGGACAGGCTGAGGTTTGCCAACGGAAGTCAGAGGACCTCTGAGATCAGGCTCAACATGCAGAAGGTGGACATGCTAACATGAACACAGACATATTGATGTATAAATTATATTTGTACTTAACTAATATTTGGCTTTACATGAATTATTTATTTTTATTATTATTATTGTTAGATATTATTTATTATATACAACATCTTATCTGTAGATCTTTTCTAAATGATAATAATCATCAGGACATAAAAATGTAATGTATAATTACCACCAAATCTCTTACTAATGGTTACAATCTGGAAAGACCTGCCACAAAATAAGGTTTAGAAAGCTTTTCTCTCCACAAGAAAGGTTTTTATTTTTCATTCCCTTTTTTTTCTTTTTGTTAACGGGGTATTGTCGTGACCCAGGTGTGGGGAACCCAAGTTTATGACTGCAATAACTCAAGAAGGAAGTCACCCAGTACTTCCAAATTCATACCATAGGTGCATCTACTATAAATCTCAGAGGAGTTTGAATCCCAGTGACCTTGAACTCAAGGTCAGTGGTCAGGTATTATGAAAATCGTGTGAATGTGATAACTTGAGACGTCGTGATACAATACCATACATGCATCCAGTAGGGATGAGGGCAGGTACCAGTGGGTTTTTTTGTGAATTTTAGTTTCCTTTTTTTGGTTTCTAAGGATACTTTTCTTGTTTCAGTTCTGCTTTTATCAGTTTTAATATTAGTCAATATGGGCGGCATCTGTTAGCGGCAGATTTAGGAAGTTCAAACCAATAAACTCATGTAGTAGAGCTCTTCTCTCTACCTCTTCCTCAATATTACTTCTTCACTAACAGGTCAATCAAACATAAATGTTCTTACTTTTGCTGTCAATAAAAACAAAAAACAACGAATTAATCGCACCATTTTCTGTAATTTATCCCGATTAATCACATTATTTGATCAGTAGCCTGGTTGCAATTACATTTTTTTCAACTTTATATTTAAGCTAACAGACATTTATGCAATATCATGTAGGGCTGTTCGATATGACGATATGAAAACGTCTATCGTTTCATATTACGCTATCGTTTGTTTCATGGTGTCTACGGCAATATTATTTTGATGATTTTGATGGTCACAGTAGAATTCCTTAAAGTTCTTTCTTTCTCTTATATTTTAAATAACAACACTACAGACGGACAAGCGACTGTTTTTATGCGTCGTCTTTAGCAACAGCGACGGTAAAACCATCGCGTGGCACGTGTTCTCAATTAATAGGTCTGCAGTTTGTTGCAATCCACTTGGCAGTTGTGTCAGTCAATATGTCCGAGGTAGACTTACTGAGTCCCCGATGCTTCATAAGTGGTTTGGCTAACGTGTCACCCAGCTTGCGACAAAGTGCTAGCAGCATGCTTGGCTAACGTATGCTCTGCGTCAATGTGATATTTCAAACTGGAGGTGCTTCGGTGAAAAGAAAATTCCTTCTTGCACAATCTGCATAATATTTTATGTCGGTCGACTGCTCAGTCTTGTTGTTTTTTTTTAAATACCCAAATTTCCCATCGAGAGGGCCAATGTGCGTTTATCATCTTCCATACGGAGTTGATTGGTTCAGCTGCCCGTCACTACCAGATCAACTGCCCATTTGCGCATTTGCGAAGGTAACTACTTGGACAAACTGCCCGGAATGCGTTGACAGAAACAGTTCAGGGATTTTGAGTTATTCTGCACTCCAGATGTGTTAGTTGCATTAAAATAATTTAATCGCGTTGACCGTGATGGCAGATTAATTTGCATTAATGCAAATTTTGACAGCAGTAGTTCTTACATATATCTTTACAATGATAATGAGCATTGGCCAGGATGACTTGATATCTGGATTTGATTACCACCACCACACAGGTTAAACAGGTGTGAAACACCACAACTGGCCCCTGTGTCATCCATGAGATTTCATTGTCGTGGTTCATTTAGAGTAACGTGTTTCTCTGCTTCTGCTTTCAGACCATGCAGACCCATGCTGCGGTATTCCGTACTGGCTCTGTCCTGAAGGAAGGATGCGATAAGATGGATGCTATTTATCAGACCCTGGAGGACATCAAGACCTTTGACAGAGGTACTGCACCACACTGCTGCTCTTCTTGTGCAAAAAGTTGTTGGAGTGTTACTTTGAAATGGGTTTGGTTTTTTTCCTCCCCTCTAAATTTCATCCTCTCTCCTTCAGGCATTGTGTGGAACACCGACTTGGTGGAATCGCTAGAGCTGCAGAATCTGCTGCTGAACGCCGTCCAGACCATCAACTCTGCCGAGCAGAGAAAGGAGAGCAGGGGAGCCCACGCCAGAGAGGACTACAAGGTCTGCGTCAACATGTTTAGCGTAAGGATGGAATTAATGTCTATACAATCTGCTCTCTGCCAACATTTCTTTGAACTGTGCTTCAGGAACGTGTGGATGAGTACGACTACTCTAAGCCCCTGCAGGGTCAGGAGAAGAAGCCGTATGACCAGCACTGGAGGAAGCACACTCTGTCCTTCGTTGATCAAAAGACTGGAAAGGTGATGACCCCCTCAGTGTGTGTGTTTGTCTGTGTCTTACAGAATAATTTAAACAGTTTTTGAAGCTATTGACAGCTTCAGCTGTCAGTATCCTCATACTCCTTTGCTTTTGACCAATCACAGGTCACATTGGAGTACCGCCCTGTGATCGACAGCTCTCTTGATGAGCAGGACTGCGCCCACGTTCCACCTGCCATCCGCTCCTACTAAGATGATTCCCTCCTGCCCTCCCCTTTATTCCCACCCTTTGCCCATCACATCCACCTTACTCAATTACAGAAGGCTCCTTGATCTATTATTAAGGAAGCTAAACTTTCTGTGCTAGAGAAAACATTCTGAGACAAATTCAGACTTTTATTGCACATTTGTATGCATTTAGATCTGTTCAGTACAATACTGTCTATATCATTTTGTGTCACTTCCTGTTTCTGTCTTTCTCTTTTTTTTGGCGTGTTTTGCCTTGATTTCAATCTGTTTGCAGAAACTAAATTTCCACATGGTTCTCATGGCTTCTCGCGCTGTGTGAGCAGGTTGTGTGTGCGTGAGATATATATATATATATATATATAAGGGGAAGAACAAAGTTGTTGACAATAAGCCTGGCTTTTTGTGATGACATCATTCTCATTTCCCAGTCTGGCATTGCAGTAAGAGCTTCTTGTAACCTCTTTCTCCTTTTAGCTGAGTTGAAGAGATGATGGAAGTGATTGTAATTTCAACCACACACTTTGCAGGCAAGTTTGAAGTATGTAAATATTGCATAAATGTACAATAAATATGGTGAGTTGTACTGTATGTACTAGTTAAAGTGCAAGTCTCACATCTCGCTCACTGTGGCCTTCATTCTTGTGTTCAACACTTGCCGCTTGTTCTGTAGATAATCAGCTAACAGGCTGTATTTGGCTCTAGCGTTCTACAATTTCGCGCTATAAGTGTTAATTATATTAAATTAATGTCTTCAGCCACATTACAGCCTCTCAGCTATTGGGATAAATGAACTGCTTTTTAAGTTACTTTGTTGATGTTGCTTTTTTTAAGACTGAGGATAAATTTCAGTAAGGTGGTGTAGCTTTCTTCAACTCCTTAAATGACTTAAATATCAAAGGTGAAAGATGCGCTCAGTGTTAAAATGTTGATGCCTCTTGTGCTGAATCAACAGTGACTTAATTTATTTGCTACAAAAAGTTAATCCTCTGCTTTTTGCTGTTTGTACTTTCGTTTTCATATGTTCAATAAAGTCTAGGCTGTGGATAGAAACGAACGCTTTTCTTTTTTTAAGCTTTTCTTTTAGTTTAGGTTTTAGTAAGAGGCCGGGAAAGTTTAAGACAAACACCTTCACAATAACCGTGAGAAGAATGAAACTGAGGAAGGGATTTTGTCACAGGTCTAAATATAAATGTGATTTTTGTCCAGTGGAGGGCAGCAGAAGCAAACATCCACATGTCACCCAGGAACAGCTGGTGCATGTTTGCTCTGCGGCTGCTCACTTGTCCTGCTATCATGATCTTTAGGAACATATTTCTATGTGTTACTGATAAGGGCCGGCACAATAATGACTGGATTTGTTCTGTAACAGCTTTGCCTAACTGTAAATGTAGTGGAAGGCTGTTATCGCTGAACAAACGGGACTGTAACCTGAGCCCTTCTCATATTCCCGGCAGCTGTACAAGCCCAGCTCGATGACGGCTGAAGTAAACAGGGTTGGAGTCAGGTATCACACTCCTGTTGGAACAAAGGAGAGGGTTTGTTAGGGGGAAGATAAAGGTTGGTTAACCTTTATTTGCTGTGGCAAATCCGTTGCATTTTAAAGTATGAATACATTTGATGAAAGGTGGATTAAAAAGGAAAAAGCGTGGGAGGAGTCACTGTAACTGCCTTTACAGGAAATCATGCTCGCATTCTTTACGTTAAAGCTCATACGCCCACTCACATCTTGAAGTCATTATCAGCGTCTGGATTTTTTCCACCAGTGGGAGAAAAATGTTCTGTACTCATGAACATCCTCTAAAAGGAGTTAAAGTGTCGGTTCAAATAATTTAAAGGTAAATACAAGTAACTGGTAGACTGGGGGAAAATAAATACTACAGTGGAAACAAATGAAAAGCTGTTAAATTGAGTAGGAGCTAAAAGAAGTCAGATTGAATCTCACCGAATCTTAAATATAGCATCCGTGTAACCAGCACATGCAATTTTTCCTCAGTCAGTACAGCTTTAAAAATTCTTATGACAATTCCAGTCTGTGAATCTCCTTTTAAAGCCATTTAAGATATTTCCCAAGCGCTGTTAAACAGCAAGCATAGTTTTAACATAGCCTTTTCTAAATATCCTGGTTTTATTTTGGATATTGTAGAAACAAAACTACAACAAACAGCTGTGTGTTGTCATTTTCAACAGTCCCACACAGCCATTCTTTCTTGGCGACTCTCTCAAGGTCCCCACAAATTTGCAGTGTGATTCTAGTCAGGGCTTTGTGCAAGCCAGTCAGTAATACTCCCATTGGTTTTCTGGAGGTACTTCTACAGGAGCGACATATTTTGTGGCTCTTTGTGTTGTTGGAATACAAACCCAGACCCAGATTTGTGCTGAGTGCTTGCATTTATTTCTTTTTTTCTTATTTTCACATGTCCTTCTTTCTTCATGTTTCCCACAGCATAATGCTCCCACCACTGTGTTTCACTGTGGGGACAGTGTTCTTTGGATCGTACACCTCTCCCTAAGAAGGATCTCTGTGGCCAAAGAGCTCTAGTTTCATCTCATCTGACCAAAGGACCTGTTTCCAAAGAGAACCAGACAGTATAGAACAGTATGCTATGGATGACCTTTCTCCTGGTTGTCAATATCATACTTCAATCTGGCTTCAGTCAAGAGAAGATTTTCTTGATCTTGCAGTCAATTCTTGTGCAAGGTTTTAGTGACCGCCTTCTTTGAGAGGACAATTCATGACTTGGCTAAGTCATTCACTAATGTCTAGGCAGTTGTTCTTGAGACACATTTCACACTAGTTTTCTTTCCAGAGTCTTTGAAATGTTTCACCTCCTACTTATACCAGGCTCATTCTATAACCATGTGTGACTCGCCTTGAATTTCTTAAAAATACTTCTCACTGCAGTTCTTACACTTGGAAATGCTTTGACTACTTTGTATAGCCATCTCCGACTGTGTTAGTGTTAGAGTCAAATTGTTAAATGTTGCCATTATTGTACTTACATTTGTAAGTCTTAGTTCAAACAAAGACATTCCTTTGTTTCTGACCCCCGATGACGAGCCAGAACCATGCAGGAGCGCTGACGGGCTTCAGCCTGGGTTGAAGCCCGCCAGCGCTCCCCAGGACGATGATGACGTGCTGGACATCGGCCTGGACATCCATGGTTTGTCGGAGGATGAGCAGGAGAGCTCATTGTCGGCCCAATGTACTGCCGCTGCTGCGCCGGTCGGCCACGATGACACCTCTCTTTTCTCCCTGTTTCGCCGTGCTGCTGAGAAGCTGCAGGTGGACTGGCCCTCTCCTCCGCCAGCTCAGAAGCCGTCGCGGTTCGCAGGGTTTTTCCTCCCACCGGAGCCCGCAACGGCCAAAAACTGCCTTCCCATGTTCCCAGACTTTCTCTGCGAGCTAACAGCATCATGGGACAAACCTCTGTCTACCCGCGTCACTGTGCCCGGCTATGGACAGTACATGGAATTGGACGGCGCTGAGGGGGCTGGCTTAACTAACCCACCCCCTATAGAGCCGTCTCTGGCTGCTTATCTGGCCCCGTCCCATAACCATGGTGTCGGCGGCCCCGCAACTCTGCCGTCCAAGCACTGCAGATTCTCTGCTTCGCAGCTGGAGAAGATTTATCGAGCTCAGGCCGGCACTGCTCGCGCCATGAGCTCTGTCACCATGCTCCAGACGTACCAGGCAATGTGCCTGGCGGAGCTCGGATCGCTGGTTCCTGATGACAGCCCGCTGGCACCTCTTCTTAACGAGGTCAGAGTCGCCACAGATTACATCCTCCGTGCGTCTCGCTGTGCAGCGCTCTCCCTGGGCAGAGGGATGGCTTCGACAGTAGTGGCGCAGAGGCACCTGTGGCTGACCCTCTCTGACGTCCCGGATAGGGTCAGGGCTGTATATCTGGACGCACCAGTGTCTGCGGCTGGGGTATTCGGACATTCACTTGAAGCCATTCAGGCTAGATTCGATCTGAGGAAGAAGCAGACGGAAGCTCTGTGCGACATCATCCCCAGACGTCAGCCGAAACCCAAGCCCGCAGCTAGCTCTCACAGCTAGCTCTCTAGCTCCTCTGCCGACTGGCAAGAGACCGGCGCCCACTGCTGAAATGGGTGTGCCGCCAGCGAGAGCACATCCTCCGGCCCGAGCTCCACGCCAGTCGGCCTGGAGCAAAGGCCCACCCTCGGGCCCCCGGCGGGACCCGACGCCCAGGAGGAAGAAGCCTCAGCCCTCCTAGCTGTGGTTTCGAGTGGAGAGGGGGTCCAGCAGCAGGGAGACGCTGTTTTTACCCCTCTGTTGCCGCACAAGAGGTGCCGCTTAAGTTCTGTTCAGGTTGTCAGCCCCAGAAGGCGCTGCACTTTCCTAACACTGTCTCCCAAGCACAAAACCCCTGCACACAAAATGCCTCAGGTAACTCCCTGTTCAGCTGTGTTAAATGTTCAGGTGACCACATCGAGTGTTCCCGCTATTTTTCATTGTTGTGCCTTAGAAAAGGTGCCTCCAACAAAATGTATAAATGTACATGTTTCCATGTTAAAATCAATAAAGAGTGTTGTTTATTCTCAAACAATCACAAATGCTCAGCCTGCAGGCAGAATGTGCCAGGTCAGGCAGGTGATGCAGTCCCCTGCAGACACACTGGGGGGTGACGACACACTGGGGGGCGACAACGCCCCGCCGACGGTCAGCCGGCTGGCTGCTGACTTCCCTCAGTGCCGCGCTTGCGCTCCCTCTCCATGGGTGCTGCGAACTGTTGCCATGGGTTACCGGTTGCAGTTCCGGGTCAAGCCGCCTCGTTTCCAAAGAGTCGTAAACACGACTGTCAACACCGAGGCGGCCATGATACTCAGAGAGGAAATAAAGGCGCTATTGCAGAAAAGAGCAATACGAGTGGTCCCCGCTTCGGAGACAGACAAAGGTTGGTACAGCCGTTATTTTGTTGTTCCGAAAAAAGGGGGAGGGCTTCGTCCCATCCTCGACCTGCGAGTCTTGAACACGTATCTACGAACGTACAGGTTCAAGATGCTAACACTCAGACAGCTCTTGAATGCGGTCGGCTCGGGAGATTGGTTTGCAACAATCGATCTAACAGATGCTTATTTTCATGTGGCTATACACCCGAAACACAAGCAGTTTCTGAGGTTTGCATTCGAGGGCGTAGCCTACGAATACCTAGTGCTGCCGTTCGGGCTGTCGCTTGCTCCTCGCACCTTTACGAAATGTGCCGAGGCAGCACTAGCGCCCCTCAGAGAGAGAGGAATCCGCATCTTAGCCTACCTAGACGACTGGGCTCTCGTAGCTTGCTCCAGAGAGCAGGTAGAGACACAGCTGTTGCTGGTTCTGTCACACATTCAGACACTGGGGTTCTCTGTGAACTTTCAAAAGAGCTCGCTAATCCCGAGTCAGCAGATTACTTTTCTCGGTTTGGAAATATGCTCGCTTTCCAGCCGCGCGTGTTTGTCGGAGCACAGAGTGGCCGCGTTTCATCGCTGCCTCGCTCAGTTTCATTTGGGACGCAGACTGCGTTTCCAGATGATATTAAGCTTGTTGGGCATGATGGCATCTTTGATCGCCGTAGTGCCACTCGGACTGTTAAAAATGAGAGCGTTTCAACGCTGGACTCTCTCTCACCGTTTGTGTGCATCGCGTCACCTCCGGAGGAGGCTGCCGGTAACCGCGTCTTGCATGCTAGCTCTCAGTCCTTGGAGGGAGCCCGGGCTGCT